CAGGGGCTGTTTGATTGGAAAAGGGTCCGAAAGTCCGTTTCCCTCAGCTTTCCTGTGTATGGTCTAGTTAATAGTACCTATAAAGGGTCCTTCCACTCAGGTTGGAGAGAGTTCTTTAAGTCATTCCTGTTCCAGTATGTATAATCCCCTGGCTGCAGGTCATGTGGCATTGGAACTTTACCCAAGGATAGATTACTGAGCTTCAGAAACAAACCTAGAGTATACTTTTCATAATACCATTAAGCTCTACAGCAATGTGACATAACAACAAGGAATGATCTGGGAAGTGTCTTAGTAAATATAGACCTCAATTAACAAAACTAGAATTTAGTATCCACTAAAATATAATCTTTTTTCTCTCTAAAGTTACCCTCATTTTTCTCAAATATAGCCAAATCAAGATTAATTTGTTTACAAGTTAAGTCATTATTTGATCATTTAGACTTTTTTTTTAAATTGGCTGTTTTGGAACTTTTAATAAGGAGTCTCAGGGTAGAATGTTAATAAGGTTTTCTAAGGCCAGGAAAGCCACGTCAAGGGCTTGTCATAGATTTCTGCCTTACAGATTTAGGTAAATTCTTTTCTCTTTAAAATCCTTAAAATACATTGAGATTCCTTTATCTGTTAGGAGATGATCTTCCTAATTTATCTGATAGAGCCACTGGGGACCTAAGAGTTTTTAGTCTCTTGAGGGATCAGATAGAGAGAAAAGGTAACTCTTCCAAGTCTGCTTGTTACGGAAACAACAGACCAGCCAAGAAACAAGCACCACTCAGAGGGTTGGAGTGCTCAGATTTATTACGCCGGCGGGCTCAGAGGGACTTCTGCTCCTAAGTTCTGAGCACCTCCAAGACGTGCACATGAGGTTTTATAGGGTTAATTACAAGTATGGGGCTATTAGCCAATAAGGCTCAAACAACAAAAAGCAAGGAATCAGTACACTGAAGCTTATCAATTCGGAACAGATCACGTTACTGATACTTGTTGAGCTTGGATTTACGAGTTAGCTTGTTAGCCCAATAAACTGACACTAAACTTCAGATTTACGAGTTAGCTCGGCAGAACTTAGATCAGTAAACCGACACTTATCACACTTAGATTTGTGACTTAGCTTATTACCCCAGCTGGGCTTTTCCTTCACATTCCACCCTCTTGATGCTTTCACAACCCTTGTTGGAGTAAGCATCATCATTTACCTGTTGCAGGGGCTCATAATTGGAGACTAACATCTGAAGTTTTGTAGCCTCTATTTGCTCACTGACAAAGCGGGTCAGGAAGTTTGGGACACAGCGCGCAAACAGCAGAACTGCAAAAATCAGGAGTAAGGGACCTATGAATGGTGCCAGCCAGGAGGTCCAGCCCCAGGGGCCTGTCCATGGGCTCTTATCTAAAATATGTTTTCTCTTTTCTACTCGGTCTTGTAACTCTTGAATCACTTCTCTGACAATTCCTGATTGATTGGCATAAAAACAACACTCTTCATTTAGGAAGAGGCATAGTCCCCACTCATTGGCCGTGAGTAAGTCCAGACCCCTACTGATTTGTAAGACCACCTCGGCCAGAGAGTCAATCTGATTTTGCAGAGTTCCCAGGGTTCCTGCTATTCGTTGGAGATCGTGGCTGAATTCACCTGTAAGCTGATAATAGTAATAAGAGGAAGAGGCGATGCCACCGATGCCTGTGCCTACCCCTGCTGCCACTCCGAGCCCCACTAACAAGGGGATCAATTGCATAGCTCGTTTTACTCTCCGTGGATGCTGGTGAGTTATGACAGGGATGGGCAGATTTTGATTATTAGGCATAATGTCCATTCGGGGAATGAGATAAGCCAAAGCACACAACCCTGCCCATCCAGCAGGGAGGAAACAGTAGGCAAATTTGCCACACACAAAATAAGTCCCGTTATTAGAACACCATCATTGTGTGGGTTGGCACCCTAGACCCATACAGTGAGAGGTTTTAATACATTGATTTATAGTTAGATTGCCCTCTAAAGGATTAGTTTCATTGTTGAAATAACATTCTGGTGCCTTGTAGGCGACCTGTGCTCAGTTCAGCCTGGAACTCCTAGTGGAAGAAACGGCATCGCTATGAGTCGTGGTGAAAGTCTTAGTGAGGTTTGTCAGAGGTAAAGCCAGGTGCTGGATAGGGCCAGGATGCAAGCATAGCCAGCAATCTTTAGCCAGGTCTGGATTGGAATGATTGAGAATCCCATGGACTGCGGCTAACAGCCCATTTATTTGTGGATCCAGATCCCGTGGCTCGGCTAAAGATGGAAGTTTTATTGGCTTTCGGGTAGGTAATAACTTCTGGTGTTGCTTCTGGACTGCTTGTTGGACTGCTTGCTGGCGTGCCTGGTCCTGTAACCTTCCTCCATCATTCATCCCATAATGTGTTTGCTTGGTCCAGCACACCACCTTGCCGAGTGAGCCATAGCATTTGATGCTAGATACATAATAAGCCTTAATTGTGCCAATCCAGAAGGATTTTCCCTGATATGTGCACTCTGAAGCGGAGTCATAGCATTGACTCGGCTGATAAGTATAAGCTGGAAATACAGGCCGGTAAATGGGCCACCTGTCACCCGGTTCCGTGCAGGTGCATTGTGCAGCCAAGGGGAGTGAGGGCATTAGCGTCAGTAGCATCAGCCTTATGATTATCTTAGACATGATGCTGCGGTGATGCACAAATTATAA